AGAGAGTAGTATGAGATAAAAGGTATTTCTGATTCTATTATCTATCGGGAGTCCAATTTAGCGTCACAATAAATTTTCAAGCAATCAAGACAACAATTTACAAGTAAAAGAAAGCAACGAACAATGTAACGTAACATTTAACAACCCTAAATATTAAGATAAAGCACATAGTAAACTACCTTGGTTATTTTAACACTGTTCGTAAAATCAAGTTCGCTGGGATAAATCTCGTATTCTGGGACCTCCCGGGCATTTTTGACATGCATGGGAGCCATCTAATGAAATCACCAATAAACGTAAGACCTCATAGAATTTGAAAAATGACACTTACCAGAAATTTTCTAGTTATACTCTATGTACCACAAAATATTAAAGAAGACTTACCGAGTGCTTCGCACCATGTTTCTCCAATAGTTTGATTATATCGTGGTTATTATAATGTATTGCATCTGCAAGAGGCTGTTTAGCCAAAATGAGATTGTAACTATAACACCTAAATGTAGTAAATGAGCAATACTGCAGAAAGCGCATACCAAATATTGCATAATTAAAGTAAAACATTGTAATAATTATCAAAATCCCTTAAATTACATACTTTCAATTATGTAATAGGTTATAGAGGTTTCCAAATGCCTCCTATAGCTTAGCAATCTACTCTATTGGCCTAAAAAATGTATGTATTATGTTGAAAACCATTCACTCATATTAACACATTTTATAAGTCAAATATAGAACCATCCACATAAAACACAAGTATCAAAGGGCAAAATATATATGTATTTCAAATATTTGTATTTAAGAGTTATACCGTGCTTCCCCATCGATCTTGGGGGTTGACCTGAGCCCCGTTTTCAAGTAACGCTTTGACCACATCACTGGAACCCTGGCACGCGGCGACGTGAAGTGCAGTCCGGTCATCGATATCCCGAAAATTGACATCGGTGCCAGAGTCCAAAAGCTCCTTAATTCCATCCAAATCTCCCTCGTTCGTCAAGTACATTAGCTTTACTCCCGGTTCAATTTCATCCAAATCACCATCTTCGTTTTCTCCCGCCAGATCATCACAGGACCCATGGTCCCGCTCCGGTGCCAGGGATGATTGCTTCCATAGTGCAATTCTTGCAGGGGCTTTCGCTTCCATTAAAATAATCAATCAAAAATCACAAGGGATTGCAAGAAATCACAAATTCTTGAAGCGGTTTCTTTAAAATGTAAATTGGCCTCTTAGAGCTAGTTTAGATCTAAAATTACCGTATGTAAAAGGAATCAGCAAACTTAAAATTAAATTTTAACTCAACTACACCAATTTAGCTAAACAGATCAAGAAAATCCCAAAACCCAGATCTTTCAAAAGTTCCAATCAAGAGTAAATTCAAGTCAACTGTTGAAAACCCAGGAGAAATTTAAACTAAGCAAGCTAGATTTTTGGGACAGTTTCTAAGAGAAATTGGCGGCCGAAAATTAGTAGATAAAACAAAAAAAATGAATTTACGATTCTATCCGAAGAAATCAGTACAAAGAAAACTGGCATTATCGACTATATATGTACGATGGCAGCCCATAGCTGGAACGTGATAAATGTTGACAAAATTCAAAGGAATTCAGGTACGTTACGCGGTCGAAATTTAAGAATTAGATGAAGCTGGTGGTGTAGATTGTGACCGCGTGAAGTTCTTTACTTTACAGTTTTCATCTTTATCTTCTAACAATTTTACATATTTTTTTTTTTCTCTCAAATTCAATTTTCAATAACTAATTTTTACCAAAGTCAAATTTTAAAAAATATAATTAAAAAATTGATTTTTAATCGAACCAAAACATGGCCTATAGCTTTCATTTGGCTGCTTTATAAATGTATTTACGAAGAAGTGAATCTTACAAAATGTGTGAATAAATAATAAATATGAGTTTATAATTGAAATTATTATGTAACTTTAATTGGATTTATGAATTAATTTATAAGTTGTATATAATCTGGTGCTTATTAATTCAGCATCAGTTTTGAATTGTTCTGTCCACATTGATTGCCACAACCAGATGCTCTCAATTTTTTAGTGTGTAGTGGGAAACAAAATGCTATTTAACCAATCAATTTAGAACAAGATAAAGTCCATTGAAATGGTCATATTTTAATCGAGACATACTTCACGCACAATTTTCATTTCCCTCATCTTTAAATTACAGTATTCTAGAAAGGATATATAAGGCATCCAGCTAGAGATGCGAGGTTAGATCTAATTAGCGGTCAAGAGAGATGTGCCCTCCCTAATCAATAAGTAGGAGGGGTCAACTAACCAATATCATAAACTTCCCCATTCGCAATCCACAAGTTGGCCTAAATGTAAGATAACATAAATCATGCATCTTATGAGGTGACCGAGTTGGTGGAATAGGTGAGCGCAAAGGTCTTTGATCAAGAGCTTGATTCTCCCTACCAACACTTTTTGGATTAAATATGTCGCACAGAGCTTGTCTAGTTGATTTACCTAACTGGCGTGGTTTGCAAGCTATTGAATCAGTTCGAGAATTTATCTAGTGCGCACATGAAAGGTAGCTGCTGCGAGTTCTCAAAAAATAAAATAAAATAAATAAATAAATCACGACTATTAGACAAGTCGAGTATGCACCTTTTAAAATATTGCTAAAATATCTTCTCTTCGAAATGCTATTGCCTTTTTATTTATTTATTTTTTCTTTTATTCCAGTTTGAGTAAAAAAAAAAATTTCATATTATTCCTGGGAGAAAAAATCATGCAGAAACTTGACATAAAAATATTCAATAGCATATTTGGAAAAAAAAAATGATTTTATCATTCTCAGATCATTATGAAAATAAAAAATAAAAAATAAAAACGGAGGAAAATAACTAACATGGGAGGGAATCATATCCCCTAAACTTTGGTAAAGGAAAACAAAAGTCAAATGTCCTGATTCCCACAACGACAACTTTATCCCTTCTGGCGTCATAATCTCAATTTAGAACGGTAGGAATTTTGATAATTGATTTTTTGATCGTTAGAGATAAAGTGTATCTTACCTGTAAAATAAGAATTCAAAAATAACGATTGAAATAATGAAATAACGGTTAAAAAATTGATTTTAATTGGCTTAAAATTTGTACCAAACAAGAACTAAAGCTATTCCATGACAAAAATTAATCTTGACGACATCTTATAATTATAATTTAAAAGTGTTATTCTCAAACTTGGATACTCTCCTTCTAAAATTTAAAATATGAAAGAATCTTCATATATTCATTTAAATCGTGTCTTAACATCAGTCTTGATCGATCAATTTCCAGACATCAGTGTGTAGCATTAGCAGTACTAAACAACTTGTGCAAAGTGTCAAGAAACCCGTAGAGGCATATATTCTCAAAGTCCCCACACGTATTAGCTATATACAAGCAAAGGAGCATCCTCCACAATATGCACATAGACTGTGATTGTGGCAAGAAAGAAGAACCTCAGCCATGGGAAGGAGTAAGTCTCTTCTTGATCAATTATTTGACCTTAATTTCTTATAAACAATTAAGTTTTAAGTTTCTTTTATGGATTGTTTAGTTGGGTTTATTTTTTCTTTTTCGTTTCTTTGATTTGGGTTTTGTTTGTTTAAAATGAAATTTTTCTGGCTCGCTATGATTTTCCTTAAGAAAAGTGAGGTGGAGAAATTTGTTACCATATTATCGTCATACAACAAGAAATTAAAATTTGTATGTTACTTGCGAACATTTTTGTTTCCTTAAAAAATTGCATTTCAACAACACGATTCTTTGAGTAAATGTCGTCAAGCTAGATACTAAATAATATGCAAACAATTTTTTTTCATTCAAGTTACCATTTTCATTATCCAAGTTAGTGTTTACGTTAATTTAATTATTTGAATTGCCTAATCTGAAATAACTATATAAAGATTAATTCAGCGATCAATTAAAATAAAAACTATGATGATCGAAGTGAGTAACAAACGGCTTTTGAATTTCTCTCTGGTTTCGTGGGTCGTTTACCTATTTTTTTGTGGATGGAATGGAAGTTAATAGTCAAATCGATGAAATAAATATATGTAATATGTAAAAGTTTGGACTACTTATCTTAACGGAGTTAACAATTTTAGAGCCCGAGTTTCTATTTTCAGGACCAGCAAGGTGTTATCGCCAAATTAAGGGCAAGCCTTATCCAAAGTCCCGTTTCTGTCGTGGTGTACCTGATTCCAAAATCAGAATCTACGACGTTGGAACAAAGAAGAAAGGTGTCGATGAATTCCCCTTTTGCGTGCACTTGGTTAGTTGGGAGAAAGAAAATGTTTCAAGTGAGGCGCTAGAAGCTGCACGAATTGCCTGCAACAAATACATGGCTAAATTTGCCGGAAAGGATTCTTTCCACCTCAGAGTAAGGATTCACCCTTTCCATGTTCTGCGTATAAACAAAATGTTGTCTTGTGCTGGAGCCGATAGGCTCCAAACTGGCATGAGGGGCGCTTTCGGTAAGCCACAAGGAACATGTGCTCGCGTAACAATTGGTCAAGTCCTCCTCTCAGTTCGCTGCAGGGATGCAAGTAGTCATCATGCACAGGAAGCTTTGCGCCGTGCCAAGTTCAAGTTTCCAGGTCGACAGAAAATAATTGTCAGCAGAAAATGGTATTTTCATAGTATTTTATTCACTCTAATCATCTCCTTTTCATTGCTTGGAAATGCTAATAATCATTGAAATTTCAGGGGGTTCACTAAGTTCAACAGGACTGATTATGTGAGATATAAAGCACAGAATCGTATTATACCAGATGGGGTCAATGCAAAGGTACTAAAATTCATAATCATATTTCCTACAACTACAAGGCTATAGAATATTGAGTTTTTTCCTTTTTTCACAATTAATTGTTATGTATTGGTAGCAGGAATAGTTTAACAACAGTTGTATTATGCAGTTTCTTAACTGTCATGGACCTTTGGCTGAGAGGGAACCTGGAAGAGCATTCTTACCTGGAACTTAGCAAGAATTGATGTAAAATATTTAAAAACTGTTTACTATTTGCTAAAAATTTAGCTCTGATAGTAGTAAATATACCAGTTAATAAGATGATGTAGACATTCTACTTCTGTTGCATGTTTCCATGATTTTGAATCCACAATAAGTTCCTATCACTTATGCCTTGTTTGTAAGGTGTATTATATAAATTGCATACCAAATATATCGTGCAATGTATATGTGCCTGTATTATTCGATTATCAACATTAAAGAACGGAAATTTGTCTTTATTAAATGAATAGTATTGTGAAGTCGCAATGTAACACACTCTTCTCATGTTTGTTACTTAGTTCTTCCCACAAGGATTGCACTCATATCATCTCTTCGTTAGCTTCGATCATGACAACATAATTTGCTGCAGTAGTGGAAAGAGCAATTATCTTCTAGAACTTAGACATCGTACTAACTGTTGTACCATGCCATCAACATCTCTTTGCCAAGTCAACGTCTATATAGTCTTGTAATTTCAAGCCATATTTTCTGATGTAGCACGTTATGAAGTTATTACCACCCATAAAACTATCGAATGTCTTATATCACTATCTTGAAACTCATTTAAGATCACCCAAACTCTATTAAAATTCACAATTTTCTCATTTCCCGGTACTTCTGAACCTTATGAATGCATCATGTAAATTTCTAACCACCATGAAGAAATGTTGTTTTTACATCCAACTGTTCTAGGTACAAGCTTTTATTTACAACTAATCTAAGTACTGCTATAATTGTGGTTAATTTCACCAATCGAAGGAAAATCTCATTTTAGTTAATGTCTTCTTTTTTCATTGAAATCCCTTTACAACCAACTTTGCTTTATATAATTTGTTACTTTTGTTCTTCGTTTAACCGAAAAACTCATTTATTTTTCAAAGTCTTTTTTCCATAAGGTGACTGACAATTGCTATGCTGGACAATAATGAGTCAATCTCTTACCTCATGGTTAACTCCCATTTTATTGATTCATCAACTTGCACAGTTTTACTATGACTTTCTTGTTCATCTATATAAAAGATAATGTAACTTTTAAATAAAGTGTTCGCACAATAAAACTTAGTTATAATTATAAATCGAATTTTTATATATTTCACAATTTAGGCACTCGATTTATAATATAAAATAAATCGTTGATCAAATGCAAGCTCAAATTAATACAAAAATTTATCGAAAAATATACTATTATTTTATTTCAATATCACAAAATCCAAATAAATTTATTTGACGGACAAAAACTTACACAACACCAACAATTTAAACCAATTAAAGTGAGGAGATTTTTTTATACTATTATTTTTCAGCTTCTTCGTTTTACGACTCATGTACCCCAGTCCCATGGATTTGAACTTCATGACCCTCCTCTTTCCGGTACTTGTACCTCTTAGAAACAAAAAGATAGATGAAGAAATTCGACAAGCTCATCAGGGAGAGCAACCAGTAGAAAAGGTTCAAATTGTTACGGTTAAAGTTGTTTCCAGCCAGCCAACCTCCACTGCGCGTAATATTCTTCGTTGCATGGTTCACTATGTTCACAAGTATGGTGCTAAGGAAGTACCCCAACGCCATAGAACTCCAAAGAAAACAACTCGAAATCGACTTAAGATCCTTTGGAGCTTGGGAATAGAAGAATTCCAGAAGTCCCACGTAGGTGAACATATCAGCTATCCCGAATACGAAGTACTGAATTGACAACCAGAAGACACTGATCGGCAGTGGCTGAAGAATCGGTATTGCATCAAGCATGTTATGATCTCTCGCAACTTTTTTTCTTTTTACTTCCATTATAGCAGCCACTGCCATGGACAAAGAGGATAGAATGAGCCCAACTCCTACTCGTTGCAGGTGTGTTATGCCAGTGGGAATACCCGTGAACTTACGTGCACATGGGACGATTATTTGGTCGTATAGCGGGATGATGAATATCAAGAACAAGACAGGAAGGATGGGGAGTGAAGCAGGGGGAATGTTGAAGGAATTGGTGATTCTTGTGTCCATGGTTAGACCTTGCTGAACTGAGAAGGTTTGCAGTTGAGCCAAGCAGAGAGTCATAGGTACTGTGCAACAGAAGACCGGAATCATGTTCAGTAAAATTTTTGCATTTTCCACTTGAGTAACTCTGCAAAGTTTCCATGGATTTGGTGTTTCAAACTGTCTTGAAGATGTCTGGACGGCAGCTTTGTCCAGGAATCTGACAAACAAAATTACCAAGAGAAGCTAAATGGATATTTTGTACGCCATACTCGACAATATAACGAATATAATTTTAGATTATTTTTCTTCGTTAATGAAATCCACACGTGCTCTATAATGATACTTGTTAGGGAGGTGACCTCAAAACATTGGTGTGAGGTAGAAATTCTGCTTCAATTGCAGCTTCCTTGTCCTTATTGATCTCGTACAGTTCATTAGTGTTCTCGGGAAATTGAAGATTTCTGTTCCTAATGGCTGCAACAAACACCTGTTATTGAAAGATTAGACAAACAAAATTAATATATAAAATGCATGTAGGAGATTTTTGCTTTTCAAGAATGGAAAGTTGTATGAGCACCTGGAAAATTTCAGTAAGGGCACTGCTCCCATTAATAACATGGTAACGATACTGTGGTAATCCAGAAGAAAAGACTATCACTCCTAGGAGCATGGCAACGACGCTTACAAAAAAGCCCAAATCCCATCCTTTATGATCTTGAATCCAGACTACGAACGTTAAGCTAATAGCACCACCTAAGCATAGTGCCATTAAGAACCAATTGAAAAAACTCGACTTCTGTCTTGCCTCCTTTGGATCTTTATCGTCAAATTGGTCAGCGCCATGAGATGGCAATGCAGCTTTCACTCCTCCAGAGCCGAATGCTACCAAGTAAAGAGCGATAAAGAGAAGTGCAGCATTACTTCCACTAACTTGAATACAGTTTGTAGATGTTGGATCGTAAATATTGCAGAGCGGGGGCTTGAATTTAGGATAGTGAGCTTGCAATGCTAGCAGTCCAAGTCCCTGCACATGGATTATGATTTAAAAATCAATACAGAGTTTCCAGAAGTATCGAAGAATTGAATCTTTTCTTCCTTTTTCATTTCACCAGTATTACTCGCAGAAGGTACTTCATGATGCTTGTTTTAGCGAAGGATATACTCACCAAGAACTCAATTATTGCTGCAATGAGAACTGCTTTAAATCGGCCTAAATAAGTGTCTGCTAGGAAGGCAACGAGGATGGTAAGTATATAACTAGTCCCCATAAAGTTTGTCAGATGGGTTGCAGCATCAGCCACGTCGAAGTGCATCACCACATTAAAGTATGTCACCAAATTAACAGCCAAGGCCAAAGTTGCCATGTTCTCAAAAGCAAATATACCTGAGACATAAAACAGAAACCTGTAAGTGCATGTTTGGTTCTTCTTGATAGCATTGTCCAGTCTCATCCAGCTATTATTTTTATTCGAAATATAGCATACAATAATCTGATAGACTTTCAAATAGGTGTAATGCATGCAGCAAATTTGTTACCCAGTATGAGCAAAGATGGGCCGAATCCACCATGCTCATCTTTCCTGGCCGTTCTTCCTTTCCAGTCCACCTTCCCTTCAATAAGCTCGGCTTTATCCTGCAGCAGAAGAGGAATATGGGGATTGAATTCAAGAAAGCATGATGCAGTTATATTGACAAAGCAAGTGAAAAGTATCAAAGTACCATAATTAAGAGAGATTTGAATGCTGATAGGTAGACCAGAAGTGAGAAGAATGGTGAAGCTTGAATGTATTTACAATACATATATATAGAACACTAGTAGAAGGACAAGGATTGCCAAAAGTGCTTGATGTTGACCGTTGATAACTACTTCTGAATTAAATAGTTCCATTTTTGTCTGAACATCCTCGGACAGATTTGAGGAACTTTGAAAGTTGGAGGGGTAGATTCTGTTGAAACCGTCAAAGGCAAGAAATAATTGTAAAAGGACGCCAGTCATGTCCTGCTTCCTACTTTTGCTTTATATGCTAATGCCATTTGATACCTCTTAACGCTTTGCAGACAACCACTAGCTTCATATCAGCATCAGTTTTCAGTTAAGCTAATATAGTAAATTTGACATCATTTTCTCAGCTGTCATATGATACAATAACAATTATATGTATCTTTGTCACCTGTGAAATTGAATGTATTGAAGTAAAAAATATTTCGTTGTACCAATTCGAACACTTGACAAAACAGAAGTCAGAAAATTCAGCAAGCAAAAATCTTGCAGGATAACGATGAATTTAAAATGGAGTAGCTAATCGGGGTATAGATTCAAGTTTGGGGAAAATATTGTGGCTCCAGTGTCAAATGGAATGGGTTGGAAACTCCAAATAGGTCCAGGAGGGCCTATGCAAAGGTTTGGACCAGCCCAGTTTTGGTACATCCTTGGGGCTTAGGTCTACACTTACATAATATTCAGCCATTACTTGAAAGCTGCAGATGGTGATGAATTGTGATTGGTCTAAACCTTTGACTGGCAACTTACTGCGACAGGCCAGTCTTGCCCTGCATAACCTGTTCAGAGGACTGGGTGGCGCTTTTCTAAATCGTGGTGGCTGCCTGGCCAGACTTGTTATCGCGATTTTTCCAAGCCGAGCCGGGCCATCACAGTCTGGGTTGCCAACTTTGACCACCTATTTATTCCCTGGAATTAACAAACAGAAAATAGCTTTGCTTTGTTAAACCCATTTTTATGCTGACGGTCTCTTTCTTCCACATTGTCAATACATCATTTTTTGAATGATTTTATAAAGAATCATTGGTATTTCAAACAGACCGCCGCTAGCTTCACATACAAAACAACTTCAAACCCCACAGATCTTCTCGAAGTGATTATTCTATTCTGCAAGTTCCCTTCAGACACTAGCTAATGCACTGTGCTCTTGAAAAATACTTCCTCTTTTTTATTGGGAAAAGAAGACTGTTCCTTCCCATGTCATGTGAAAGCAAAGCAAAGTTGGGTGGGACAAACAGGAGAATGGTGATCAACCCAAAAGCATATGCAGTTTCCGCACAAAAATATTACTGCAATTATTCGGCCGGAAACAATTCTTCAATTAGGAAGAACTAATATAAACAGATCAATGAAATTGGTTCCAACGGTTTAGCTTCTCATGTGCAACTTTAATGAAGATATCATACGAAAAAGAACAAGAAATAGAAATGAGCAAAACTTACATTCTATTCAACAACAAAAGATTCAAGCAAAACGAATTAACTATATTAACAGAATAGACAAATATGCCGCCTGTGCAAAAAAAAATGCTTAAGAGTTAGCTATCCTGCAAATGCAGGTACAAATTAATCGCCTATCACCATGATTCAGTAGTTCAATAGGGAGTACTTCATCCGTAACATAATTTTTCCCTTGTCCACCCCAAGCTTGGCTCCTGTCACGATCCAGTGGCCTGGCATGTCCTGTGGTCCTTTTGACATTTCTGTTGGATCCACGATTTTTGTCAGTTTCCCGACTTGATTTGAACCGTCCAATTTTCTATCATCAGGGATTTTCTCGTTTGACAGTGAAGTTGATGAACCATCAGGTCTTTGTGGAGCAGACAGGTTGGCAGGGCTGTGGTCCCACACAGAACGCCTTATTGTGCACCCGGGTACTTTGGAAAAGAGAAGTTTAAGGTGTAATACACTTTTGGCACCAAAATCCCAGACACCGAGCTGAGCACCAGTGACAATGTGAACGCCAGATAGATCTCCGATGCACATATCGGTATACTCTATAGGTGCAGTGCTAACATGTGAGAAATTTTTCCACTTGATTGGTTCAAACCATCGGCTATCCTGCTCTTCGGGACCCTGCCACTTGGGCGCACCTATAGCCACGTGTGCATCCCAATGGGGTTGAAGGATTTTAGGAAGAGACACTAGATGTTGCAAATGGATAGCAAGACGATTATGCTTACTGCCTTCTAGGCTGAGTCTGAGGCCTGTGACTGGTTTACGCCCAACTGTCACCTGCCATATCCCAGAAGTTTTGACTTAGAAAACTGAAACAAATAATTGTTGGACATTACTTGCATATTAGCCAGGAGGAGAGGAAAATCCAGGATTTTCTAGCCCAACTGAATTAAGGTGGTGGCTGTATATCTTAAGTACAATAACAAGAACTATGAATTATATACCTGATCGGGCCTTATATAAAGCTTTGGACCCATCAGACTGAACTGAAGAAATGGACACACAGGCTCCTTTCTTTGTAGATTGTTCTGCTCTGGAGCCCAAACCCGAGAAATTTGGAAGTCCAAGAAATACTGTAGATCCTCAATAGGCGGCTTGTCTGGAAGGAACAAAACCAAACATCTTATGCAAACTAAAGATATTTAAGAAAATAAATGGATCTTCTCCCCGACAAAGTGTACAAGAATATCAAAAAATGTTAACAGAATCATAATCACAGTCACATTGCATTGCGTCTTATTCAACAGTATAAATTGAGTGTATACCAACCATCAAAGGATAAGAACTTGAACATTTAGAGAAGTATACTTTGAAAGCCTTCAATGGGTTTTTGCAGGAACACATCATTCCAGTAACCAAATAAATCAAACAAAATTTCTTCATATTTGATTGTTATCGGCAGCTCCATAGACGCAATGTTGAATATCAAATCCATAAGAGTTTACTTCAATAATGTTAAAGGATCTCAAATTTCCAAATTGTTTCAGTTTTTAGAACCCAAAGGTTATGATCTAATACCACCCTTACAATGCCAAAACAAAATGAAAACAATGTTGTAGGAAATAGCTATATATAATGTCCTTGCAGTGTTCCAAAGACACCAAAACCGAACATACAAAAACATTTTATTTACTACAGCATGTACCTTTTTTGGAAAAACTACCAAATCTATCAGAACAAAGCCCTGAAATGAAGTTATCGCTTTTAAACTGCAGGAAATCAAGTGTAACAGAGGACGAAATCTTACACTCCAAGTATAATTCTATAGCACGACTTAGGTGCTTTATTCCAGGAACTCCTTCGAGCAAAGAGGCAATGGGAATAAATGTCATGTTGATCACATCTGGGGCTGCTTCAACAGTCTGAGCCCACTTGGCATAACTCTGCTCAAGGTCATCCCCCCCTCGTCTTCTGAAGATCACAGTAACATCCTGCATCAGGAAAAATGCTTTTACCGGCTTTCTTATAATCACACCAGAATAATTAGTATTGTTGGAGAGTGGCCCCCAACAAGAAGTTCTCTAGAACAAAAAAACATGATCAAAAGCCAAGAGCACTACTTTTTTCCTTTTTAAAGCTAAGAGCTCTATAAGATTAATGAAAGATGTAAATACGTTTTGACAGAAAAATGAGTTTCAACAGGGAAAAAAACTTGTATAAAGCTGCTGCACTTACCTTGTCCTTGTATTTTAAGGGGCCTGCATTTGTATGGCTTTTTAAATCGGAAAACCTCTGGTCTCCAATGTCTTTCACATAGTTTTCAATATCTGACAATGACAAAGGTGATGACTGATGCTGTCTAATATAGACCACGTCCCTTCCACCAATTGTTGCAGAGGTGACAATATGGGTGCCATAATTCTCAATAAAGCTGGAAGAAAAAGTATCGAGACATAAATCTTATAACATCAGCTTCTGAAATGGAAATAACCATTTATAATTCACTATCGGCCTCGGATTTCAATATGCATCAATATTGGTCCTTGAAACATTTTGATTAAATATTCAAAAATTTATATGATCCTGCAAAACCAGCCCCGCCCCCCAACCCACCCACACCACAAGAACCGGAAAAGGTAATTTTGGTGGTTGAATAATGCCATCAACTAGAGATACTCCAATAATTGCACTCAATCCTACTACTTTAGGAACTATAGAATCTTTCTTTAGAACTTCAGTAATCAGTCGCATTGTAAATATGAAGGACCATTTTCTCCTATATTAAACATCATATAAAGAAAGGCACATTGATTTAAAGTGACATCCAAGTCAATGATGAATGATAAAAGAAATTCATAAGCTAAGACTTTCATAATGTTTCACCTTGCCAATGATGCGGGGTCCCAAGAATAGGGAACTGTGTTCTTGATGTCATCATTCAAAACTAAATTAGATTTTGATAGTTTGACCTTAATTAATGGCATGATACGACCAACCATTGCAAGGGACTTTGTAGCTGCTGCATCAAGTTGCCAAGAGCCAGTGAGATTAAACATAGCATTAAAGCTTCCTAGTGGCACGTGTCCAGGTACATTAGACTTTTCACTGAAGTATTTTGCCATCTGTAATATAAGTATCAAAAGGATTTAATTAAAATTAGGGACCGAAACCATAAATGCAAACGTGGCATTTCGGAGCACAAATAATGAACAATTCATTCAGTCAATTAAGAGACAGAATACGTTCTCTCTCTCTCTCTGCTTCTCTTTTCTTTTCTTACTTCTTTTGGTGAGGCAGGGAGTTAGGGGTCATTTTGGTTGAAAATTTTGAACCTATAAATCGGTTTATGAAGTGCCCTTTGTAAGCCCTTGTTTGACAACCTTTAAAATATTAAATTGTTTGCTGCAGTATTATTTTCCACCACACATTCACACAATAAAATATTCTACACAGAGATCAATAAAGTTTCATTACTTTTTAACAACACATTCTTAGGGATAGCAATTCGAACCGTCAAAATTGAAAAACGGGGTTAACCGAACCGAATGGGGCAAAAAAAATCGAACCAATGGTGCAATGGGACGGATATGGTATTTGATTTTAATGAATCGGTTCAGTTTGGGGCGAGGCGGGGATTTATGTTATCGCCCCGAACCGAACCGATTAACCATTAGAAAAAATAATAAATTAATAATAATTGGGCTTTACATAATTTTTTTATTTTTTCTATGTTAATTACTTAATTTCTTTGACCCAAAATTTCTAGCCCATTAACAAATTAAATTTAAACCCAAGTACCCAACCCTGAACCCTAACAATCTAACACAAAGGCACAAACGTTTTATTGGAGAATTGGAACTCAACTCCTGTCTTCTGGGTTTGCCGAGTGCCGATTGCCGTCTCTTCCGTGTCCGTCCGTTTGCATTATTTTCTTCTCCTTCGACCTTCAGGCTTCTGCCACTGGTGAGCTTCTCATTTTCTTTTTTGATAATTTGTATTTGTCTATTTGAGTTTGTTGTGAATTTCGCACAAGATTTGGCCAAAGTATATCCAAAATTTTCAGTTTTTTACAATTGGTGGCTGCTTTAGAGATAAATGACTTTAATTTCTCCCCTCTTTGATGACTTTTGGCCTAAACAACACATAAACAAGAAATTGAATTCTTTAATTACAGAAACCAAACTTTGTGACGAGGATGTTGACGAAGATATATATTTTTTTGTTTAAATCTTCAATTAAAAACATTATGAATTATTGATTTATTACTCTATTTACATTTCTTATATACTATATAGGAATCAATTTTGAGTTTTGACGTATGCTAGTAAGAATTGTGGGGAAGAATGAAGATTGAATATGAATTGAGGTTGGAGTTTTTTGAGTTATTGAATATTGTTTGTTAAATTTGGATTTTGTATTTGAGAATTGGGATTTTTTTGCATTTTCATTTGAGATGTTGTTTGTTACATTGACTTAGTATCATTTTTTTTTTCATTGACTTTTTTCATACATTTTTCTTTTTATTCGACGGATGGACCAATTAAAAATAATTTATTTTCGTGGTTATTAACGACCCGAACCGAACCGACTTTCGTGGTTATGGTGCGGTTATGGTATGGCCCAAAAATTGGTAGTTCAGTGATGGTTTTGACCCAACCGAACCATTGCCATCTCTACACATTCTCCCAAAAATACTATTCAAAACTCTTTAATTTTCAAATAATGGGTGACAAATAGGGCCTAAACATGGCCAATCTGCCCCAAGATTAGCCCAAACTGAAGATTGACGTGTCTGATCTTGCACTTAGAGGACCCACACAATTGTGACCACAAAGGCAACCCATATTCAAATAGCACTCATTCTCGCTCAATGGTGTAATATGATCTAGCTCTGTCATGTCTGCCAAATAGAACTCCCTACGAATGTTAAATCTATCTCACCTGCTTGAATTAAGTCGAGTTCCTATCGGTTTCCAATTAATTCTACATCATGTTTTGGCTTTTTTGATCATTCACGGTGACATTCAAATGCATTAAATTTATTTCCTTCGAACTCATTTTTCATTCTTGACTAATCCAATGATTTAAAATCACTATTTTAAAAAAAATATATAAGGCTTTGACATACATTCAATCTCAAATCCACCCATCCAAATGAGACCTCAGGTTTCAATTTTCCATTTTTTATATCATTTTTCCTAGTGTATATTGGCTCAAAAGTGTATTTTAATACGGATAAATACCAAACTCTACAAAATCATCCAGGATCACATGATATACAATAATTTGAATTCCCTAAATAGAAATATCTCTCAGGACATCACAAAACAAACATGGAAAGCAACCAATGTGACAATTCAGTCACAAAACAAACTAAAAACATTAAACTCTCCACAATAACCTATATCTGCATCAACATCTGTATATTAGTTGAATCAGATTGAAAGCTCAGAATACAAGTAGCACATATCAGAACAAAAAAGATTTGTCCATTCTAAAGTCAATCCATTTAAAGATTGTCTCTCTGAGTAAAATTAAGATAACCAACAAATTCTTATAAAGCTTCAACAGGAAATCGCACCCAAATCATCAGGTAAAGTATCCAACCACGACCAAAAAAACCCAGATGACAAAATCAAATTTGAGGCAAACAAGGTTAAAATAAATGGGCAACTGACCTCATGGAAGGGCAAAACCGGGGTTGTCTCTGTGGAACTGCGGCCCTTGGAGCAGTCGATGTCAATAGAGACATTTGGGATAACCTGATTTTCGGCGATTTCTAGATTCTGGGTGTGATCTTCATCGATTTGCACTAAGCGAGAACCAGGAGCCCCTTTACAGTACAGCAGCCTAATATCCGATGTAACATCAAACCCACGGCCTAATGTTTGAATTGAGTTGCAGATTGTGGTAAGCAGTGCATTTTCTGAAATTGCTGTACTGTTCTCCATTGAATAGTAAAAACTTATGAATCCTTCATTGCATTGTAATACTGGAAAAAGATTGAAACTTTGGCTTTGATTTGAATTGGTGGTGGGTGGGAGGGGATAAGGAGCCGACTTGTGGCTGTGTTGGTGAGTCAGAGGTTGGACTTTGGACTTGACAACAAAGTTGTTGATGGTGGTGCTGTTGCTTTGGTAATTTGCTCAAGTAAACGGACTATCTTCGCTGTAATAATGTCAACAAACGCGTCGTCGTGTTGTTTCGTTGACCGTACACAAAGTCTGATATGTACATTAAACAGGTCCTATGCCTTGGATTATAATTACATAAAATAATGTGAAAGAAAAATATTGAATGAAAAAGTTGATTGTATTTTAAATTGATAAATAATATAGTGACATGTGGTATTATGTAATCCATTATGTAAAGTTTGATATACATATAACAAAGTCCATATGCCTTGCGGCCCTAAATTTTTCATATAAATATAGGATTTACGTTTTGAAATACACATTAGTCTATTAATTTTTTTACTTAGAGGCTGTTTGGAAGTGATTTTGAGAATTGATTTTTTGACCGTTAGGAGAAAAGTGGGGCCCACCTGTGAGAGAAGAAGTCAAATATGACGGCTTAAATAGTGAAATAACGGTCAAAAAATCAATTTTTTTGGTAAAAAAATCGAGCCCAAACAGCCCTTTACTTTATAACACATTATCGGAAGGAAGTTCTAGTCAACAGAGTTAGTAAAATTTAATTCTCTTTTCTACCCACAAATCTCTAG